TGCCCGCGCACTTACCGGAGCCCCGCGGGGATGGCGCGGCGGAAGGAGCGGGGCCCTCGGGTCGGGGCGAGGGGGCCGCGGCGCGACCCGCTGCGCTGCGCTGCGGGAGCGCGGCTGCTGCAGGGCGGTCGGGCGGCGCGCCGCTGGGCCTCGGCGCCTCCCAGGCCAGCCCCGATCCCACCGCCGCCGCCGCCGCCTGTGCTTGCCGCGCAGGCGCCGGACCTCTGGAGTGAGGCGGGGGGGAGACGAAAGCCCCCCGCCTGCCTGCCTGCCTGCCTTCCCGCAGACAACAAAGGACGCGATGGGGGGGGCGCTTCCTCCCCTCCCCGTCCAAGCCGCGGGGTTGCCGGGAAGGGTCCGTGGGGTGGGGGGACACGCTTCTCTCCCGGGCACATGCGAAGGGAGGGGACGGAGCCGCGCTTGCGAGGGTGTCAGCGAAGCTGCCTCCTTGCACGGAAGCCTCCCGTGCCGCGCGCGGATCGCCCGAGCCTTCCCCGGGCAGCTCGCGCTGACGTGCGGAGCTCCCCCCCCCAAGAGCCGAGCCTTACAACAGCCCTGCAAGGTAGTCCAGCGGCCCCGGGCATCCCACCCGCTTCAGGGTCGAGCCCTCTAGCACTTCTGAGCGCGGCAAGGACCGGACCTCGGGGCTCCAGAGACCCGGAGACCATTTCTTGCCTTCGCTTGCGCGGATCGATTGCAGAACCGATGCCTTTCGAGCAGAGGCGGGATAGCCCTGCGTGTTTTTTACTATAGGAAATACATGTCGTAGCCCTTCACACACGTGTCAGAGTTGCTTACAATAAAATATTAGTCACAGCCTGAAATACCTGGGGTTTGTTAAGACAAGCTAAATCTCCTTCAGCACACCGAGATATTTTCCAAATCAAAGGCCCCAGAAAAAAATCAGGATTTTTGGTAAACAAGGCAGTATGGAAAGGTTAACTTGTATAATCAAATTTTTAATTATTACCTTGGCTGAATCATCAACTCAGATGGGGACTGCATCCAAGAAAGCTGGAGAAGACAGACTTGGAAGGGCAGCCATGAAAGAACTAGAAAAGATCACCCTGTCTAAGGACATTTCACTGGAGGGCAAGGCCAAGATCATCCATATGATTATACTCCTGACCACAATCTATGGGTGTGAAAGCTGGACAGGGAATAACGCCAGCAGGGGGAAAAAACTGGATTTGTGCAAAGCATCCATGGTGCTGGAGGGGAGCTTTGTGAATACCCTGGATGGACAGAAAGAGGAACAGGTGGGTCCCACATCAAGGGAAGCCAGAGCTTTCCCCAGAAGCAAAAGTGGCAGAAATAGGGCTGTCAAACTTTGGATACATCATGAGAAGGCCGGGCTCCGTGGAGAAGACAGCAATGCTATTTATTTATTTATTTAGAATTTTTGTATGCCGTCCCATTCGCATGAGCCCTGGGGCGGCTTCCATTCAATAAATAAACAACCGTACAAATAGTGCACATGAAATCCAGAAGGGAAAGTCAAAGGTGGAAGGAGATCAGCCCAGCTATGGGATGGATGGAATCCATCAAGGAAGCCACAGCCTTGGATTTACACAAGCTGAGCAGGGCTGTCACGGATGGGATGTTTTGGAGGGTGTCCAGACATGCGAACTGGTCATCGTAAGTCGGAGAGAAGGAGACAGCATGTAAAAACAACACACTCCAGACAACGGCTGAAGGGGGTTCAGAATTATCCTGCAGTAGTTCCAGATGTTGTCTTCTCCTTAAAAAATACCCTGTTTGACAGCACCCCCAAATTCTTCTGTTTTAGGAAGAAAGGGCCTGCCTGTGTGTTATTTTAATAGTTACGTGTCTTATGTATCCATTGGATACCTTATCCTTGTAGGTCTCTATCCCATGTATGCAATTTTTTTTTTGCTGGCTATTGTGCTCCAATGACCTTTCTTTCTAGGTCTTAACACTTGCAAATTTCAAATCCTGTCTTTGAACAAGGAACACAAAAGCTCCCATTGTCAAATATTTCGTGCTCCTTCCTAACCTTGTTTAAGCCAAATAGGAGGGGAAAATGGAATTCAACATTTTTCAAAAATTCAACAATTCAAAAATGGAATTTCAGATCTGTGAGAAGTCAGTATTGTATAAGCAGTCATGCAGTCTGCAGTTATTTTATTAAGCTGTCAAGACCACCCTGGCCATCCTCTTCAGAAAGCCAGGAATATATGTGCAAAAATATAAATATTTACACATATTTATAAAGCGCCACCTATCAACACCCATGCTTTCCCACATCATGAAGAAGATGGGAGCCCCAGGACATTTCTGCCCTTCATGTCTGACACTAAAAACAAAACTAAACTAAATTAAAAATAAAAACAAACCATCAATTTTTCAATAGGAGATGAGCAACCTGGAAAGAACTAATTTTGTTTTCTTTTTGATTAGTAAATCCTGAGAAGAGGGATAAAAAGAGCAACGTAATTTCCTGAATTTTACGGAGAGGGAGAGTGGAGAAAGAGATTCATCTAGAAGGAACTCTTTGAAGAGCAACTTTCCCTAATTCCAGAGTTGAACCCAATTAGCTTTGGAATGCTGCATGGCTCTTTTCCACCTCTCCATCCATTCTAAATCCGCCACATTGGTGCTCCGTCATCAAAACTCTCATCTGGTCCCCCTGAAAAGCCTCTTTTTCCCTCAACCTCTTCCTCTTTCTCCACGGCAAGATATATATGATCCTCACACTTTGTGAGGTCTTAAAACTCTGCTCTTTGAGGTGCCTCACATCCATCAGCCCTCTTAGACGCACACATAAAATTCTCTCTCCATCCCATGGCACTTGACTTCATTACTGACCTGATCTGTTTTTTTCAGCCTTCTCAGTGTTAAAGATTTATGGATTGTTGCAAACTGCCCAGAGAGCTTTGGCTACAGAGTGGTATAGAACCAGATTGAATAAATTGATTAATGATGCCTCTAATTCCTTGGATATATCCATGATTCCCCGATGTACAATTTCAGCTCCTTGGCAGAGTCAGCCTATGACTGCTAGACTGCACTGGAGAGCCAAAGGAATTTTTGGAGTCCCAGCCCAGATGTCAGAAAACAGCTCTGTCATTGGAGCTGGGACGCCATGATCCATGTTCCCCCTCCTCCCAGTGGGTACAGGAAGAATCTTGCCAGTTACTTTTCTGCAGGCCCAAAAGCCACCTTGGAGAAGGAGTTTATGGGGTGTTTTGGAGGGGAGGAGATAAGGCTGGTGCTGCGGAGGCGTAACGCTTCCGACCAAGCGCCCTCTCAAGTGCTGCCCTCAGACAGCCAAACCTGAGTTGTTTTGCAGGGGGCAAGGAATGCGCAGGCCCATCATCCTCTGCATTTGGAGCATTTGGGGTGTCCCCATAGGATTGTTATTTCATCATCATCACCATCATCACCGTCACTTTTCTGGGTCTTTCCTAATAAGGATGGAACCCAGTCAGCCAAGGTTTCTCCTCCGAATGGGATGATAGGCAGCAATGAATAAAAGTATTTGTTGTTCAGTCCAAAAGCAATGCCCGACCCTTCACGACCCCATGGACAACATTCCTCCAGGCCCTTCTGTCCTCCACCATCCCCAGGAGTCCACTTAAGCTCACACCAACTGCTTCTGTGACTTCCTTCTCATTAGTCCTTCCTTCTCATTAGGTGGCCAAAGTACTTGAGTTTCATCTTCAGTATCTGTCCTTCCAATGTGCAGTCAGGGTTGATCTCCTCCAGGACTGACCAGTGTGATCTCCTTGCAGTCCAGGGGACTCGCAGGAGTCTCCTCCAGCATCACAATTCAAAGATCTCAGTTCTTTGGCGCTCAGCCTTCCTTATGGTCCAACTTTCACAGCCATGCATTGCAACTGGGAAACCCATAGCCTGGACTATACACACTTTTGTTGGCAGGGTGATGTCTCTGCTTTTTAGCATGCTGCCTAGATTTGCCATTGCTTTCCTCCCCAGGAGCAAGCATCTTTTAATTTCTTGGCTACAGTCACTCATTCTTGGAGCCCAGGAAAGTAAGTCCTAGTTCCCCTTGACTAGTTCAGGGCTCACCTGGAGTCCTGTGTCCAGATGCAAACTAGCTGGAAAGGTTTCAGAGGAGAGCAGCAAGGAAGATCCAGGGACCATGAGGAGAGATTGATAGAACCGGACGTGCTTGGACTTGAGAAGACTCAGGGGAGATGGGCCAGCACTCTATGAGTCCTTGAAAGGCTCTCACCAAGGGGAGGGAGGTATTCAGGATGCAACTGGGCAGGCCTCTGAGAGGGTTGGTCAAACTGGGAGTCCTGCACTGTGCAGGGAGTTGGACCTGATGGTCTTTGGGCCCTTCCAACTCTACTTTTCTGCGATCCCATGAAACCGCACATCCTCGCAGTTCAGCCCACCTGTTGTGGGCTTAGCTGCAGATGGCACAGAATGGAGCTCAGTCGTCCCAGGTGAGAGCTATCCGGTCTCTTTGCTCTTGATTTTTATGCTAGTAGACTCAGGGGCCACTGGGGGAGGAGAGAGTTTCTTCTCGCAAGAGCCATATCCTCACAAGCCCCCTGCCCAAACCCCCTTCCCTTTAGCCCCCCTCCTGGGCGTCCAGGTCAGCCGTGCCTGGTTCACCTGTTTCCCCCTAGCAGCACCCTGTCCTTCCACGCTTCTCCACTCCCTCGATCCTAACCAGGATTGAGTTCATGAACTCAAGTGTTCCTGCCAGCTTCCAATGCCTCCCGATCCTCAGGGACCGAGCCGCGT